GCCATCTTATGTTTCCTTTTAGCTTTATTAAAGGCATATTATTTACTAGGCTTTAATTTTAGGTTCAAATTTTCTTGCTGTTTTTAGAACTAAAGAGAAATAGAATTAAAAATTCTTTGGTATGAATGTTGCAGAAATACCAGAAGAATCCCCTTAATACAAGTGGTTACCAAGTCATCTTCTTACTAGAATAGAGTTGTTCTTCTGCAGATAAGGCTTTTCATTTTCCCAGAGAGCTGTGTCTTTTACACTCTCAGATCTATTACTCCTTTATCTAAAGGGCATTCTAAATTGCAAGAATGTTTGCAGGATTGCCTTGTATTTTATTATACTCTGTGGTTTAAATGTACTGTATAGCATCCATTTAATACAGACATAAGATTTAAGCAATACAAAAAGAAATTGATCAAAAACAAGTTCCAACGTAGGGATTGAAATAAGAGATGGTACACATAATGATTAAGAATTCAAGTCCTTTTCTGCCAGGGCATTGCACCTTGATATGTTTAGCCTTGCTTTCTCCTCTGCTGGTATAATATCTACTTCAGGAAGTTGTTATAAGGATAAATGAGATAATGAATATGAAGTATAATTGACCCTTGAACAATGCACCAAACTGCTATGCAGTTAAAAATCCACATGTAACTTTTAGGGGGCACCTGGGTGGCTCGGTCGGTTAAGCGTCCAACTTCAGCTCAGGTCATGATCTTATGGTCTGTGGGTTTGAGCCCCACATCAGGCTCTGTGCTAACAGCTCATAGCCTGTAGCTTGCTTCAGATTCCGTGTCTCCCTCTCTCTGCCCCTCCCCTGCTCACGCTCTGTCATTCTTTCTCAAAAATAAAATAGACATTAAAAATTTTTTAATCCACATATAACTTTTGACTCCCTAAAACCTTAACTACTAAATAGCCTACTGTTGACCAGAAGCCTTACCTATAAGATAAATAGTTGATTAACATATATTTCATATGTGAGAAAAGAATATGTCATTAAGGAAATCCTAAGGAGGAAAGAATACATTTACAGGACTGTACTATAAAAATTCTGTGTATAAGTTGACCCACACAGTTCAAATCCATGTAGTTCAAAGGTCATCTACTTAGCATTGTGCCAGATATGCTATAGGTGCTCCATAATATTGATGTCCACTTATAATAATAGAAGATGTATTTTTCTTGCTATCTTATAATTTTATTTTTCTAGAAATTAGGTAGCAGTATATAATGCTATGTTTTAAAATGATAACAACAATCTATGAATGCATTATCCATACAAAGAACTTCTTGTACTTTGCCCTTTATTCTGAATTCTGTATCCCAAGTTTGTGGTTCAACAAGGAGCAATTGCTCAACAAACATGAAAATGATGATTGCTTACCATTGGCATTTAACACAATTATTCAAAATTTATGAAAAGAATACCAAGTATTGTTTTCATAAAAATAAAAAGATGATCACTTTATAAACTAATTAGCTAATTAGCTAACTGATAGCTACTTGGTTTTTATTCTTTTTTTAATATAGTTTATTGTCAGTTTGGTTTCCATATAACACCTAGTGCTCATCCCAACAAGTGCCCTCCTCCATGCCCATCACCCATTTCCCCTCTCCTTCACCCACTTGGATTTTATTCAGTAGGAAAACTTGTTGGATAAGTTAATCACTAAAAATATTTCTAAATTTTTATGTAGGTGATTTAGTAGTAGTTTATACCAAAGTAAACCTCAAATTGAATTTATTATCTTACCAAATGTCTTACCAAACATCTTTGCTCTTTACCCTACCCTCATATCCAAACAATGTATGTGCAAGTCAACTTACTCAGTAGTATCAAGTGCCTATATTTGTAACACAAAAGGAAAATAAAACCTACATGTTTTTCCAGCACAAAAAAAAATTTAATAAATAATTTTATAGAAGCTCAAAAATAAAATGATAACAACATAATACCTTATGATTTTACTGAATGAGCAAATTTACTTTTTACAAGAATGTGTCAAATAACTTCGCTGGAACTTTGCCTAGTACTTTTAATGTGGTTTCCTGCCGTGGCTTGATATATGATGCACTAATGAGTGTAGAATTAGCATATAAAGCCTGGCCGTTTTATACCTCTTCTAACTGGCTTATTAAGTTAAGTGCCAAATACTACAATATAAAGGTTCTAGTACATTATCTCTAAAACAGGCAGCAAGGTTCTAGTGGAGTTTCTTTTCTAAGTCTTTCTATTTTTTTTTTTTTTTCAAGATCTTTAATCTGTTAAGTCCTGATGGCTTTTCTGGTAAAGTCAGTGTTTTACTCATCTTTTGTATTCCAGCAGACCTTGCACATAGCAAGTATTTGGCAAACAAAATTACTCAAGAAGAGGAATCTGAGAAAATGATTTGCAACTTAATACGGTGGATTTAATTGGTATTTTCTTTTTTGTAAACGTGTCTACAGTCTAGTATTTCTGCCTTTCCTTCTTCTACCCTACTTCTAAGTGCTTCCAGTACCTGAATTGGAGAGCTATTGCTCATTACCAGTGTGTTGTATGAGGCCCTGAATGTTGTCATGCACACATGTTGAGCCATTTAAGTATGTCCATTACTTTCCTATTTATTTATGCATTGGACTTGTAAAATAATTCAATTTGTAGAAACTACAAAAGTTTCTTTTTAGTTTCCTGATTTAGTACTGATTTAGATTATATCTTCTTTAGATTATCATGTAATCCAAATATCCTATTTAGAAATGCTCAAGAATTAACAATATTATCACTCCCTTGAGATAAAGAAAAAATAAGAATGAAAATGTAACCACACATGGGAGGAAAGGAATAGCTAAAAGATTTAAATCTGCCCAAAAGTGTTTTCTTTCCTTTCAAACATAAGCAGTTTGAATTGCAGTCAGTTTTTATATGTTAAGTGCTGTCATTCTGTCCTTTCCCCCATGGCAGCTGATGAATATTTTCAAGAGGAATTAAAATACACACACACACACACATACACACACACACACACACAACTGAGTTTCCAGGATGTACTACAAACATGTGAGATCTAGCGCAAAATGAAAATATCAAGTGCCTTGTTCAAGAACAATGGAGAATTCCAAGACCTCAACAGCAGAGCTAAGTACAGACCCCTATGTAATTGCACAGGTCAAATGCTCATGTCAGGCCTGTAGAATTCCCAATTTCTGAGAAGTGGTCTCCCTCTTGGCACTATGCTTAGCAGCTTTTTAGGGTAAATACCTTTATTCTATCTGAGCATTGAGATGTGAACATCAGAGAAAGTAAAGAGATGTGAACTCTCCCATCATGACCATGCAGTGTGATCACTGGTCATTGTAAAATGGTCAACAAGGCCATGTAATGAAGAATAATGAGATAATTCATCCCATGAGTAAAGATTAAGCCTTCTGAGGTTAGAGAAAGCAACAGGGGAAAAAATAAGCATTTATTTAGTCTTTTTTGGATTGGAGTCATATTAGGCTCTTTCTTTATACCTTAACCTGATTTGCCATATACAGCAATTCTTATCACCCCATTTTCTACATGAAGAAATTGAGCCTCAAGGATATAAAATAACTTTCTCACAGTTATACAGCAAGTAACTGGCAGTGTGATGACTGCCCACATCTATCTTCATATCAAGCCCATGTTCCTTCCATGGATATTGGTGTATTGCCGGCTCATGTCTTGCTTTGAAGGCTGCTAGCTGTAATAAAAGTGCAGCCTTGAGAAGCAGATGCAAAAAGGAGTGCAATTACAAGGGAAATTTAGTTTGGCAGTTTGTTTGGTATGAGAAAGCTGAACCCAGCACAGACTGAGAGCCATGGGCCATGCACAGAATACAGCAAATAAAAAGAGAGTCATTATTACCTTAACCAGGCAGATGGAACGGTCTCCCTTACAAGTGAGTAATGCAGTGGTCACAGAACAAATATGTTGGAAATGGACAGAAAATGACACCTTGATTGCTGCAAAATAATAGCTCTTCCTACAATAAAGGCAAAATAATATAATAAAAATAATAATAATAATAAACCAAATGATGGACACCTGGTTTCAGTAAGCCCTGAAACCTCTCACTCAGTAAGTGCGAGTCTGAAGCATCTAAGGGCCAGCATATTTGAAGATAGTATACTCCAAGCATCATTCACTTATATTCCACTGTCATGATTTTACCATGTCTAATTCTAACTTATTTAAATCTGTTCTATAGCAGCATTGAATAGATTTATCCTAACCTAAAGTATTAGCTTTCTGTTCTCAGTCAAGCCACTCTACTAAGTGCTAAACCTCCTTTGCTCTTCAGTTTATTCAACTCATATTTATTGAGTATGTTATATGTTTTAAGATCTATCTACATGGTGTTGGGGGGTAAGGGAGGTAAGAAAGAGAAGTCAAAGATGAGTAGGACATGGTTCCTGCCTCAAGAGGGCTTCAGAATGAAATTATACAATTTTAGACTTCATAGAACGCTGACAAACCAGTATTGAAGAAGTGGCATACTTTGCCTGGAGGACATAGGCAATTTATAGAAAGGTAACCTTGAGCAGTAACGTATAGACAAATTAGGAGGAGTTCACTGAGCAGACTTGAACATTCATCTTCTTGGTCATTTACTGGATTGTTTTTAAACTTCTCTGATCATGATCATTGGTGGTTTTGGAATTATTGAGTTCAGTTACATCCAAAGGTTGTTATCAAGAAGTTCTCTGGTTATTAAGATTGTTTAGAAACAATCATTCGATTTTAGGTCTGATGAATCAAACAATAGAAACAAAACAAAACTATAACTTTCTTGTATTTTGATCTTTAGTTCTTGTATCCATAATTTAGAATATAAATGTGTGTTTGTTATGTTTTATTCAATTGAATACCTATTTTATGCAGATTTTATAGAAAAAAATGTCAACTGCTTCTGTTTCTTTTATTTTTTCTTATAAAAAGTAATAACAATAAGTGATTCACATGTTACATACAGCATGTGTTTATCCTAATTTTTTTTCAGTGTAAAACTCTTTCTGGAGTCTGTGACCACATCATATCCCTGTCATCAGATCCTCTGGTTTCACAGTCTGCCCACCTGGAAGTGATTCAGCTGGCAAACATCAAGCCAAGTGAAGGGCTGGTAAGAGCTACCATTATCAAAGCCACTATTCATCACCGGACAGCTAATGATATGGGCAAAGCAGCCTCCAAATATGGGAATCCATAAATTCTAACACACTTTGAATATTTTGGGTTTTTTTTTTTGGAGGTAAATTAAAATACTGGGAGTTTGTTGTGATAAGTTTATGAAGATAAATAAGAATGAAAAGGAATTTAAAATGGTGATTTCTAAATTTTCCTGTGATAAATTAGCTTTTATTATGTTCTTTCACCCCCTACCAAAGTTCCTTATGTTTAAAGGAAGTATACGAGTTTTATACAAAGAACCACAGTGTTACCTGCCCATGCAAATAGGTGTTTTGTTTGTTTTGCTTTGGTTTGTTCTGGTTTTAATAGGACTCTTTTCCCTTGGGTTTTATAAGCTAAACAAACCTGATATTCTTTATAACTCACGTCCATTCTTTCTTATAAGGGTGAGTAAGCAAGTAGATTTTGCCAAACTAGGCTGACATCTAGAGATGTATTTTTTATTATGTAATAATAAAGATAATCATCTTCAATATTTTGTTCATGTGATTAAAAATAGTATTGGTTCTAAATGTAACCCAAAGAGAGCTTTTTCTTTAATAGGCCTCTAGAAAGAAAGCATATAAAATTAATATTAATGAGAGACAAAAAATAAGAAACTGGCTAGAGAACGTCTTACCCACTACACAACTGTAAATTATTAGCTTGGTGTTACACTGTTTCCTCTTTCTCCCTGCAGATGAATTCTCCTAGGATATAATTACTGATATTTTAGAAAATAGAAATCTTGGAAATAATATAATTCAAATAATATGTTCTTAAAGATCTCAAAGCAAATTTAACTTTTTATGTGGCTTTTCTTTAATGCATAACAGTGATTTTTTTCACTGTGAAGCCATCTATTTGATAGAGTCACTTTTCTCCTGATATTTGGCAAATTAATTTTTGATAACTATAGTTTCTCATACTTTTGTAGCTTTTATCAGTGTTTTTCTAGGAAGATGGAAATCAGTATATCAGATAAAGCCAGCAAGTATACCATCATCATAGCCTATTAGTATAATATCTAATTTAATTACTTTTAAGAGCTTATTTTTAATATTTATAAACTTATTTGAAGTAATACTTATGATTTCAAATTCTTACTGTTCCTTTTGGCTATCTTTACACAGCCCAGTTTCATTTAAAGCATCTTTCAACCTATAGTATTAAAAATTTTCCTTTCTATATTTCCCTTTTTAGTAGTTATATTTAAGTTGATTTATTTATTTTGAATGAGAGAGAGAGAGCTGGGAAGGGGCAGAGAGAAAGAATTCCAAGCAGGCTCTGCACTGTCAGCACAAAGCCCGATGTAGGGCTCGAACTCACAAGCTGTGAGATCACGACCTGAGCTAAAATCAAGAGTTGGATGCTTAACCAACTAAGCCACCCTGGCACCTCATTTTTCAGTAGGTATGAAGAAAGGAAGCTCTCTCAGCATGATTTGTGGAGTGGGAAATTAGAAATTAGTATATATTATTTTAGACTAGGAATCAGGGCACCTAGTTACAAATCACTTACATAAAATATAGCCCTGAGTGTGATCTTGAGGAGGTAGAGAAGTAAATTTAACCTCCTTGGCCTTGCTATTTTCATGCATAGAATGTTGGGGGAAGGAAGGGAGGGTGGACTAGATCATCATTAAAGCTTCCTCTAGCTCTATGAGCCTGCAGTTCTAAGGACAGTATTTGGAGAAAAGAGCCTGATGTTTTTTCCCCACTAATTTCCACTGAAATCATGGGGGAAAGTAACCTTGTGAAGTGAGTCAACACAGTGCTAATTAATGGACGTTATGAAATCTTTTTTTTTTTAATTTTTAATGTTTATTCTTGAGAGAGCGAGAGAGCAGGGGAGGGTTAGAGAGAGAGGGAGACACAGACTCTGAAGCAGATTCCAGCGTCTTAGCTGTCAGCACAGAGCCCAATGTGGGGCTCAAACTCACTAACTGTGAGATCATGACCTGAGCCAAAGTTGAATGCTTAACCTACTGAGTCCCCCAGGTGCCCTAAAATCTTGATTTGTTTTAATGAAAGATATAGTCTTTTATTTTTTAAATTTGAAAGAGGTAGATACGGATCTGCTCTTTGGAACAGTCATAAACTTAAAATGCTAACAACCAGATTCAGTTAGTCTGAGAAAGAGCTGGAAGAGAAAAGACATGCGTGCTTACCATTTGCCAAGTATTTTCTCACAACTCTGTAGAGTAGGTACTTTATTTTCCAAATGAGAAAATGTAATCACAGATCTTCACCAATTTGCCCTGCATCGCATAGGTAATAGAGGCAGGGTTTAAGTCCAGGTGAATCTCAATGAAGTACGTGTTAACAAAACCTGTTCTATTATCCCACATTTAAAGTTGGAATTGCTAAAGGGAAGTGTGAGAGACTTAGGAGGGTGACTTTATTTTTTTAAAGTGGATTTATTTATTTTGAGAGCCAGGTGGTAGGGCAAGAGGAGCACCAGTGGGGGAGGGACACAGAGAGGGAGAGGGAGACACAAACCTTAAGATCATGACCTGAGCTGAAATCAAGAGTTAGAGTTGGATGTTTAACTAACTGAGCCACCCAGTTGCCCCTAGGAGGGTGACTTTAAAACTAGAACCACCTAGAGAAATCATTATTAAAGAATAATTGACAGTACTTCACTGGGAAAATATTTCCAAAGGAGGAAAAGAAAAACACAAAATAGTGAATATAAGTAAAAAGTTAGGTAAACACTATTTCTTGTGATTCGTATTAAAGAGATGCCTATATAGAAATTTTATATGATTTATTCAAAGTATCATTTTAAAAATCATTCACTGAAGTACCCGGGTGGCTCAGTCGGTTGGGTGTCTGACTTCAGCTCTGGTCATGAACTTGCGGTCATGGGTTTGAGCCCAGTGTCGGATTCTGTGCTGACAGCTCAGAGCCTGGAGCCCAGCCCTCTTTAATTCTGTGTCTCCCTCTCTCTCTGTCCCTCCCCTGCTCGTGTTCTCTCCCTGTCTCTCTCACTCAAAAATAAGTAAACATTAAAATTTTTTTTAATTAATTTTTAAAAAATCGTTCACCATTAAGCAAGTTTAGTCAGTCACATTTGAAATAAATAGATTTAAGAATTTTGGGGGGCACCTGGGTGGCTTAGTCGGTTAAGCGTCCGACTTTCACTTAGGTCATGATCTCGCGGTTCGTGGGTTCGAGCCCCGCGTCGGGCTCTGTGCTGACTGCCAGCTCAGAGCCTGGAGCCTGTTTCAGTCTGTGACTCCCTCTCTCTCTGACCCTCCCCTGCTCACGCTGTCTCTCTCTCTCTCTCTCTCTCCTAGAAATAAATAAAAATTAAAAAAATAAAAAAAAAAAAAAGAATTTTGGTAACATCTAGCTGGTGCTTAGCCATAAGAAATGTCTAAATGGTAAATAAAGGAAAGAAAATAGAAAGAGGCAGGAGAATACCAAGATTTAAGGAAGTTTAATTAGCTTAAAACATCTGCAGGGGCGCCTGGGTGGCCCATTCCGTTAAGCGTCTGACTTTGGCTCAGGTCATGATCTCACGGTTCGTGGGTTCGAGCCCCACATCGGGCTCTGTGCTGACAGCTAGCTCAGAGCCTGGAGCCTATTTCAGATTCTGTATTTCCCTCTCTCTCTGACCCTCCCCTGCTCATGCTTGCTCGCTCGCTCTCTCTCTCTCTCTCTCTCTCTCAAAAATAAATAAAACATTAAAAAAAAATCTGCAGAGGGTTTTCTGGCAGTTTCAAAACAGCATCTTTCATAGGCAAAAGGTAACTGCTTGGTTCTTCCACTGATAAACTGGATAAATTGTTCATCAACTTTCTACCTAATTAATAAAATCCCCTAGGATTTCTTAGTTTTGAGAGTCCCAAGCATTATACAGAGTGACAGGAAACGTACTTAGTTATGATTAAACATGAAACTAGCTTCTAAAATGTTTATAAACAACAGTGATTAGCAGAAAATTAAAGGAGAGAAAATGAGAGCTATTGGAACATATTGAGACTAGATCAGAACCAAGAGATGAGTTGAGTAGAGAAGAAGGGGCTTGGGGGACGTCCTTGGGGAAACCTCTTGGCCTCAGAGTATCCTTTTGCTATTAGACACTTGTATTACCCTCAAATATGCCCTACTCCATTGACTTGACTGTGAGGTTGCTTTGGCTCCCGCTGGTTGACATTTGGAGACTGAGTGAAGCAAATGTCACTTTGGCAAGCTAAGCAGGAGAGAGGGAACTGTTCAAGTCAGCTCCAGAATTTATTAATTGGTTGTTTTTTTAAAAAGAAGGAGAAGAAAGAAGGAAGAATGAAGGTTTTGATGAAATGAAAGACCAGATTTGTCTCTTTTCCAGAAATAGAGCCATTTGGATTACATGTCCTCCTGCTGTTTCACCCTTTCTAAGAGGTGAACAAGTGATCAGATGTATTTCTGTGGACTCTTCATTATTTGGAAGATGATTAATTTGAAACTCATCCAAGCAACTTGCTTCTTTTACTTTCTTTGGGCACCTGGCTTTTTTGGCCATTTTTCTCATTAATACTACCAAAGGGAAATAAAAAAATGATGAAGTAGTTTTGATTATTAAAAGCAATTACAACAAATGGCATATTAAGGTTTGAAATGAAAATATTGCATAAAACAATATCTTCCTTCTTTGTGGCAGTTTTAAACTGTGCCTTATTTCTGTCCTATTACTTCTATAAAGTTGCTAAAATTAAACTCTGTATACATAGCTAGTTCCTTCTTTATTTAAGCATTTAAAAAATATTTTAGGGGGCACTTGGGTGGCTCAGTCAATTAAGCTTCCAACGTCAGCTCAGGTCATGATCTCACAGTTCATGAGTTTGAGCTCCACATTTGGCTCTCAGCTGTCAGCATGGAGCCTGCTTCAGATCCTCTATCCCCATTTCTCTCGGCCTGTCCTCTATGTGCATTCTCTCTCTCTCTCAAAAATAAACATTAAAAAATAATTTAAAATGAAAAATATATATATATTTTTATCCTGCTGAAAAAATTAACTTTAATATGATCATATACCATTTAGTTATATATAAATAGTGATGGGCTCTTCCTCCTATTAAGAAAAGATACCTTCATTAGCTTATTATTGCCAGTTTTGAAGTTCCTAGTTTGTATAATAATTGCACAAAATTTTATTTCCAAAGGCACAGCTAGAGTATGTCCATGAATTTTTATTTTCTCCATGACTGTACTGCCTTTTCTAAACATTTATCTTAGGATATTAGATTTCTCTATGACCTAACCACTAATGAAACTATTCAGAGCTCTTGTCAGACACCTTAATTCATAATCAGTAATATACAATATTTAAAGAAGTATAGAAACATAGTCAACTTCTGCTTACCATTTTCAGAAAAGACAGATGAATAAAATAAGTTTGTAAAATATCAAACCCAGTTACTCTTTATAACCACATTGCACATAGTACAGGTGTAAGAAGAGGTCTTACATCTTTAGAATACATGTTAAACAGTTAATGTTGACTTTAATATCTACAGTTGCCGAATATGTTATAATAAGAAAAGTGAAGGTGCACAACTATCCTGTTAATAAATCAATAAATCAGGAGCCTAGTGGTTGAGAATGTCATCTGGAGTCACACTACCTAGGCTTGAAACGTGGCTTCACCACCTTGGACAGACTCCATAGCTTCTCTGTACCTCAGTTTCCTTATCTCTAAAACAGAAATAATGATAGTTTATACCACATAGACTATCGTGAAATAGAAAACACTTAAAACAGTCTCTGGCACATGCTAACAAGTAGATATTCGCGATGATGGTGATAGAGAATGATTAATGATGACTATTGTATGTCCAAGTAATATATATTGTTTCCTTCACTATCTTTTCCCACTTTATTCCCTCATAACCCTTCTATGTAAAAAACTAAAACAAATTTTAGTGCTTAGCGCTTACATATAGACTTTAGGTCCTTTATTAATCTGATGTAAATGTGTTAATTCCTAGAGAAAAATGATGGCAAGGATCTTGTCCTCTTTTAAGTTCTATAATAGCACCATTAGATTTACCTTCCCATAAATAATGAGATAAATAGTAACTTAAAAAGTAAGTAAGGTATACACTTGTCACCAGTGTAAGGTTGAATATTACCATATGTCATAGGCAGCAACTACTAGCCAATTTCTTAATTAATTTCTATATGCACTTCTGTTGAGGTTAGTTATTTATTTTAGATGAAGTAATGAACTTTCATTTAAGAAACTAGATTTCGTAGATAAATATATACCTTTTAAATTATATTCATTTTGTTTCACATTAGTGATCCAGGCTCAGCCATTTTTGGAACAGATACCAACATTTTATTATTTTTTTGTAAATGTTTAGTATTCATTTTTAGGAGAGAGAGACAGAGTATGAGCAGAGGAGGGGCAGAGAAAGAGGGAGATACAGAATCTGAAGCAGGCTCCAGGCTCTGAGCTGCCAGCACAGAGCCCCATGCGGGGCTTGAACCCACAGACTGTGAGATCATGAACAGAGAAAAAGTCAAAAACTTAAAAAACTGAGCCACCCAGGTGCCCCTATTATTTATTTTTTAATGTTTATTTCTTTTTGAGAGAGAGAGAGACAAACTGCGAGCAGAGGAGGGGCAGAGAGAGAGGGAGACACAGAATCCGAAGCAGGCTCCAGGCTCTGAGCTGTCAGCATAGATGAGGGGCTCAAACTCCCAAACCACGAGATCATGACCTGGGCTGAAGTTGGATACATAACTTACTGACTGAGCCATCTAGGTGCCCCTCAACATTTTAGACAGAAGACATCACTGAAATGACTTCCAAATTCAAACCTACTCAGTTTTTTTTAATGTTTAATTATTTATTTTGAGAGAGAGAGAGAAACAGAGAGAGACAGAGACAGCGAGCATGGGGGAGAGGGAGAGAGAGAATCTCAAACAGGCTCCCCACTGTCAGTGCAGAGCCCAACATGGGGCTCAGTCTCACAAATTGTGATATCATGACCTGAGCCAAAATCAAGACTCAGACACCTAACCAACTGAGCTACCCAGGCACCCCCAAACCTATCCAGTTTTCAATGGTACTATCCTATGAACTTTTCTGCTTGTTTTTATTTCTTACTTATTTTCAATGGAAATACATGTACATGCAGTTATCTAAATATATAATTAACCTAAAGGTATGAGAAATTAACATTATAGTAGCTGTCTACATAAGTCCTAAAATAAATGATTTTATGAAATGATATTGTTGGTTATTGTCCACTATATTTTTTACTTCAAGTTCATTAAAATTCATATTTTTTTTTAATTTTTGAAATCAATATTTTGAAATGCAAAGCACTTGTATAAGTAAAACTGTAGGTAATTATTTTCCCAAAGAGAAAAGTAACAGAATCTTCCTTAGAGAGGATAAAAGGCATTCACTGATTATCCTTTTTATTTGCTTAAATAAAAATATTTTAATATTTAATTTTAAGTTTATTTCTTTTGAGAGGGAGAGCAGGGGAGGAGCAGAGAGAGAGAGAGAGAAAGGGAGAGAATCCCAAGCAGGCTCTGCACCATCAGCACGGAGCTGGACATAGGTAGGGCTTAAACCCACAAACCCACGATCATGACCTGAGCCAAAACCAAGAGGTGGGCATTTAACTGACTGAGCCACCCGGGCGCCCCTATTTATAATGTGAATATTTTCTTGTGATATTTTTCCCTTCAAGTTCTATCACTATCCATAATTTAAAGTTTTTATTTGCTCTTATGGTTTATACAGTTTCAGGATACCTAGATAATCTTTAAACTGTAATAGAGCATTTAATTTTCAATTTTTTTTTGAGAGAGAGAAGGTGAGAGAGAGTGTGTGCAAGTGAGGGGAAGGGCAGAGAGAGAGGAGAGAATTCCAAGCAGGCTCCACATGGGGCTCTATCCTACCAACTGTAAGGCCATGACCCAAGCCAAAATCAAGAGTTTGACACTTAACTAATTGAGCTACCCAAGCACCCCTAAAATGGCCTCATTTAAATGGAAAATGGAAGATTGCCTTGGTGGCTCATTCGCTTAAAGCGTCCGACTTCGGCTCTTGATCTCGTCGTTCATGAGTTCAAGCCCCACATTGGGCCATCGGGCTCTGTGCTGACAACTCAGATTTTGTGCCTCCCTTTCTCTCTGTTCCTCCCCAGCTCATGCTCTGTCTCTCTCTGTCTCAAATATAAATAAACATTAAAAAAAATTTTAATGGAAAATTAAATCTCACCCTCTTTATTAGGAAGAAGACTTGCCACACATTACCTCTTAATTATTGATATAGAAGTGTTTGGATATAATTGTTAAATTTCATCAATAAAAATAAAGGCAGGAAATACAGGAAACCACAAAAGAGCTGGAGAAAAAAAGTTTACATTAAGAGTATTCTATTACTTTTCTGTCTCTAGTTAGTTGAAGTTGCCCTGTAGAAACCTACTTTTTATTGTGTAATGTGTTTCAAGTACAATAAGCTAATAACCAGTACTTGAATTTCCCATTATAACTTTTGTTTTGCTACAGAACAAATAGTAAGAATCATTGGGGGAGTGAAGTGCGTTCTTTATTCAGGATATTGAATTACCATGCTGCATTTTATAAGTTTCATAGGAAATTTACTTATCAAGTAGTTATTTGATTAAACTGAATACAGACTTTTTCAGGCAAACTTTAGAAACCAGAACGTTCAGTCAGGAATTTTTTACTAGTTTAAAGACATCATTATTGAATAGGGATTCATGGAGCATGTAGCAATTTTGATAGGATAAGTTTTTTTTTTCTAAGTGCGGTTATAATATACATGAATGTTCCAATATTCCAGTCACTTCACTTCTTTTTCTGATGCTGTCTTTTTTCTAGGGTATGTATATTAAATCAACATATGATGGGCTCCATGTAATTACTGGAACTACAGAAAATGTAAGTATTGTAACATTTCAGATTTTGGGGTGTGTGTGTCTTTATTGTTAAACAACTTATCACACATAATTGAGGCTGGTCTGAGGACATGAATACATTAGGAGAAAAAACTAAAAAGGACACACTGGGTTAGTAAGTGCTGGTTTGGGGAGAACTTCAGTCATTTAGTTTAGAATAACTGGTTACTTAGAGTAAATCAGATGTTTTCTGTTCACAGCCAGATGTTTGCCTTTGTTAAGTATTTTCTGGTTTATGACAAGTTATTGTGACATCTAAAAGAATCCACTTCCATCTGTCAAATAGTTTAGTTATATTAAATTTATATAAGAAAGAAACATCAGATAATTCAGGCTTTCTGAATACTGCATTGTAATTCAGCTTACTTCAGTGGAGAGGGAGCATGGTATAGCTTACCAGTTTTCACAGTGAGGTCCCTCTCTGGATCAGTAGCATCACCTTCCCTTGGCAACTTGTTAGAGATACACATTCTCACAACCTACCGTAGAACTACTGAATCGGAAATTCTGGAGACTACCCCATTTTTTATTTAAAAAGTTGTTTTAACAGGATTCTGAGACATGCTCAAATTTGAGAACCTCTGCAAGCCACGAGTCAGAGTCCCTAGACCTAAGTTCTACAATTAGTTCTGCATCTTAATGGCAGTGTAATTTTTGGCAAGTCACTTACTCTATCATTGCTTTAGTTTCTTCAACTGTATATTGGAAATATTATCTGCACAACATACCTCACTAAGTTGGTATGAAAATCATATAAGCTAATAAATGTCTAAGGTTATGCTATAAAGAGTTACAGAAATGTGAAATGATCGTGTTGAGCCTGAACACTACCAGTATAATAGATTTGAATAGTGTAATAAATCATTATTCCCATATTTGATTGTCCTAGATTTCCATCTTACTCTTAAGTAGGTACTGAGCTGTGAATTTGTTTTTCTTTTAGATAGAAATTCTGACTAATTGCATATTTATGCTGTGTTTCTTCAAAGACTGAGGTGGAGTTAGTTAATCTCAAATTATTACAGATCTCAATATCTTACCAGCATTTCTTTCTTTAAAAAAGAACATTCTCTTCATCTAATTCACTTTTTACTTTAATCACTTACTGGTTTTTTTTCTACTCCTTTTTCTTGGTTTCTTGACAGTATTGAAATACATTATATACATTGCAGTCAGATTCCTGTACTGGTTTCATATTTGTTATTAAATATGAGTTATATGGGATCAGAAATATCAGTTATATGCATATAGTCAACCATTTAAAATTTTTAAATGCAGTAAGATACTGTAAACTATACTCCTGTCACTGACTGATCATTCTCATTTATTTGTACATTCCTCTGATCCTTCATTTATTCATTTGTTCTTGTAACAAACTTTTGCTTCATGTCTGCTGTGTTCCAGGCACAGAGCTAGGTATTGAAAGAATTTTTAAACTAATCTAGCCTCCTGTTCCTAAAGAATGTGACTAGGGGTTTTTGTGTGTAAATGGGTGGTGACACTTGCATAGACAGACACAGTAGAGAATCATAAATGCTGCCAAGTGAAACCAGACAAAGAATCACAGAAATGTTGATTTAGAACTGTATCTTGAAGAGATTGATAGGAATTCATCTCTGTATTGTCTGGAGTCTATAAAAAAGTTAAACACTATGTACAGATCATATTAATTACTCAACAATATTTGATAAATGGATGAGTGATCACAGGAAGATTGATTTTGTGAGTAGTTCAGATATGAACCATATATTAATGGCTTATCTTTTAACTATTTTTTTCTTGAAAATATTTCATAATTTTTGGTACCCTTAGTCATTTATCATTAGGAGATCTCTGTTGAGTCTTAGTAAAGCACTGTTCACTAAAGTGGTTAAGTTACTTTGCTTTGCTCTGCCCTAGTTTCTTAATTTTCTCATAGGTAAAATGAAAAGCTTGGACAAAATTATCTCTAGGGTCCCATTTAACACTGAAAGTCTGTAATTTATATTACTCCCTTTTTTACCTATCTGTGAAAGAAGTTGGTTCAGTTTCTTTCAATTTTATATGCCAGCTATCACTTTCTTTTACACCATGACTAGAAAGAGCCATTGGCTTGATGTTTTTCTTCTGTACCCTCTTTTCTAAAGATCAGTTGTGAGACAGATAGCACAGGAACTGAAAATAGTTACAGCTCTGTTACAGTAATGATTTACAAACTTTTCAGAATTATTGCATGGTACTTGTCTGATTTGGTAATAAGCCTACCTCCTAAAGGTGCTATGAAAAAAATACATTTTTTTCTTGTTATGATACCATTCTTAGGGTTGAGTTAATATTCTAGATGAACTATCCTCTTAAGAGTATACTTGTATTATTACTTGAGTAACTGGATTTTTCTGATATCATTTTATCTTGAATTCTGGCCTATGACAGATAATTCTTTTATGAATTTCAAAATTTGTTGAAGTTAATTTTATTTCAAGACCCCTTTGTTTTGAAATAATTAGAAATTGGAAATGAATTTAAACAAACTGGAAATCACTTTTAAAGTGATTTTAACTTTCAATTATTAGTTATCTATAGATACAAACAATATATTAAACACTTGTAGTCATTTGTATTAATTTTTTTGAAGAAGATAATTGAAGTTTTGTTCTAATTTGAAGATGTGAACTTACTGTAGTATTTCCAGGGAAAGGAAATGACTGATAAAATTTGTTTTTTATCATTTCCATTATGTTAAATTTAGTCACCTGCAGATCGGTGCAAGAAAATCCATGCTGGCGATGAAGTGATTCAAGTTAACCATCAGACTGTGGTATGTATAATTACCTTATGAGTCACTGGGAGGAGCTAATATAAATATTTGCTAAAGCTTTAAATGAACGCCAATTGAAATGAAACACCTGTTTGTATACAATATGATTGAATAGCCTTAAGATAGCTGAGTGATATTCTTATTTGATAGAAGGTAAGGCATAGTTTTCCAAAAAAAAACACAGGGTTTTAATATAAGGCTTGGAAATACTGGTGTTGGCTGAGGTTAGATATGCATTTCTACATGGACAGGTACGGGATAATGTTATACACCCCATGAACTGAGATAATAATTTTGAGATACAAATTAAAGTGATAATGCATACAAATTCAACCTGTTCTTGATACAACTTTTAAGTTTTACTTTACAAACTATTGAATTACCTAGTAGGTATGTTTTGTAACAGCATATGTACATTCATCTACTTTAACTGAAGTGTCTGGTAGATTGGTTTATTTTAAATATCAACTTTTTTAAATTTTAACATTAATAGCTAAATTGGAAGTTCATTTCCCAGAAGAAGACTACAGTTTTTGTTTTAAAATTATTGCCCTTAACTAAATAAGTTCCTAAAATTTTCTTGCTCTGTGAACCTCATGAATCCCTTTCTAGGCTAAGATCTTGACAGTGGCACTTTTGTGTCAATGGTAGACTTTCAAGGGCCATTTTTCTTAACGCTAGGTTTAGAAAATGAATATCATGTGATTTTTCACTTTGGTTTGTTTTCTGTCTGTGTTGATTTACTACTTCTATATCTGCCAAAATAAAGTGTATTATTTAAAACAAATGAAGTTAAAATAATAATTATTAATATAATAAACTTCATTTGGAAAAATGTGTTTTTGTGGTAAATATTCTTATAGCTCACTAATCCTTTAGACTGAATGATTATTTCCTATTATTGTACCTTTTAACTAAATTTTTTTTTGCCTATTCTAGTCATAGAAGAAACTTTTAAAAGGAAAGGCTATATTTTGGGGATAAGAAGACTGGCTTGAAAAACTCCAATCTTTCTCACTGATTCTAATGTTGAGGCAGAAGTCATTTCATTTTTGGCTTTGAATGAACTGAGAACTTTGTGATATTGTGGAGAGACTCCTGAACACTGATAATCAAACTTATGATGTTTCTTCAATGAATTTGCTAAGTGAATAAAAGTTAATAAACGTTTAAAAAATTAAATGTATAGGTGTAAGGTTAATACTAATTAAGGCAGAATTTTGGTAATCAGCAAAGCCTTTCCACACTATGACAATTTTGATAATGAGAAAGTTGTCATTACTAGAAACTATACAGAGTGGTTGTCCTAACTAAAGTTTCTTGTCCCCTTGGCTGAGAATTGGGCCAGTGGGATAAAGCAGCTACTTCAGTAGACAGGCAACTTCTGCCTCTTAAAATGTTCATACTGCCTCCGTTCTTGCAATGTGACCTTAACAAACATGACATCTGTTAAGTAGTTGGACCAATATCAAGTTGGTCGATCCTAAGAGGGTAGAAATTAGTCTCTAATGAAAAATAAAATTGTTTAAAGGATACTCTTTGTGGAGCAAAGATTCTGATGTTTACAAATGAATATGAAAGCCTTTAAAGGACTACAAGTGAACTAATAAAATCTATATGGATTAGTGATGCATAAATACTGTGAAAATGTGTAAATACATCTTTTCATCACAGGAATATTCTAAAATATTGAAAATGACAGAATGATGGTTGGGGGAACTTGCTTCCAGTTTTTGCTCTGAAAATGACTTATGGCTTCAAGTGAATCATAGTAACTTACACATACAGTAAGTGTAAGAACACTTTACTGAGTTCTTACAGTGTGCCAAACATCATGTTAAGTACTTCACATATTTTATGTCACTTGGTACTTAAAATAATTATACAAAGAAGGTGTTTGTAGAAATTGAGACTCAGAATGTTTAACACACCAGCAACTCAAAGGTCCCTGACTCCAAAGCCTTCAGTTTTATTACACTCCTTCCCAAAACTCAAATTAGAAAATTATCAAACAAAAGGGGAAGAATTCTAAGGATTGTGTACGTAAAACTCGGGATTCAGTGAGAGATTAAGCAGGGGTCAAGGGTAAGAGAAATTTAATTTTCTTGCTACTTCCTCACTCCTTTCTTTCAGTTAGATGTGTAAACACGTACCACATTGCCAGGCACACATTAAGAGCTCAATAAAAATTAACTTTCCAACCTCCTTCCCCTCTTTTACCTACAACAGCTATTGAGCCACTTGTAGTCCTTTTTCTTGGCAAACTGCTACTAGAGCCTACAAATTGATTTTGGATGATAACAAAGACATTACCTGACAGGAAAATATGTTGAGTTCCCTGAAAGTAGCCTTCCTTAATAATGTGATCAATTACCAGATTTTCTTCTTTGCTTTCAAATGAGAGGCATATTTATGTAAGAATGGTGCATTGTATTGAACGCAGCCTAGTCTGCCCTCTCTTGCTCTTGCCTCCTTTGTGGCCTGTACAGTGCTTTTAACTTCTTAGTAGACAATATACAGAGGTGATAAAACGGAAATTATCTGGGTTTTGTTACTATAAAAGGTTTGGTAGGTAGATGAATTCATTGAAACAGGCATAAATTATTTGTAGTCTACAATGTCCTTTCTATCCCCAGAGATATTCAGAGTTGATTATGATATAATAATTATGTTAAGGTATGACCTAAAACATAGGAAATCCTTATTTGATATTATTTTTTAACCCAGTGATTAACTGACCAGAAAAGTGAGATATTTCCAATATGGTTCCAAACCAATTTAGACCTAGTAATGAGGAGTAATGTTCAATCTTACAGTTTGAATGTTATTAGCTCAGTTAGTATTTTTCTGTAATTCTAAAATTTTCTACTGCTAAAGGTAGCAATGTACAATATAAAATCTGACAGCTTTTCTTATTTTAAAACACATAGAAAAGCAATTTGAAAATTTTCCCTAAGGATCTTAGAAAGTTGAATAACTCACATATGAATTCAAATACTATTTTTTGAAATTGCTAGTGTGGTATATCTTCAAGATGTCCAATTAGGTGTATGTGTTTTCTAGTTTGCTCTTTTTTTTTTTTTAAAAAAAAGGTATATTTTCTTATTTGAAATGAAACTGGAAGTTTTATGTCCTTTTTCATATTGCTATATTCTTTATTATAAATGGCTTTTAAGCTTTTCAAATCAACATACTTCTGTGGCTGAGAGACTGTTGCTGCCAGGTAGGAAGAAGAAAAAATCATGAACATCCAAGCAAAGCAGACTGAGTCCTATTGCATGTCTTCCCCGCCAGTGAAGATCCAACTCCTCAAAGCTGCTGGAATCTCCCAAGATTTTTTCCACTTCATCTGCCACTACATCCCTCTCTCTGGGAGATACCTCGGCATAGTTTGAACCAGCAACTCTACCCTCATGATGCACTTTTAACACGTTTTTTTAGCTGATGAGACTATTTATAGTTATTAAATCTATTTGGGCATATTCCTAATGAATTTGTTAAATTTTATGTTAATACTGTTTTTGGTGTGTAAGTGTTTTAAAGATTCTATCCATACTAAAAACAAGTATTTTCTTCTTAGGAATATCACTTAAAAGGAGTGGGGTATGTGGTGGTTGAATTCAGCATTTGGAAAGTTTCCTTTTATTTTGTGTAAATATTTAAACATATTCACTATTATTTTGAAAGGTCTTCTGGAACCTGGTGACTACATTCTGGCAAGAAATGGTTTAATATATGTGGCTATAAAGGCTATTGGAATGGAAAATAACTAGATTGGGATAGTAAAAAAAAGATAGACTGCAGTAAATAGCCAGGATGTTAGACATTGATTAGTGAGAAATGGAAGATGAATTCTCTGAGCTAGTGGTCTTTGTTACTCCCTAAATAGTAAATATTGCTCAACAAGACTTGCAATGGGGGTGAGGGAAGAACATATTCAAGAACTATTCATTCATCTGGAAAGGTCATTCTAACTTCATTTATATTATTCTCAAAGGTGTCTCCCTTATTCTCACCTCTAGTCTCTCCTTTTTGACTCTGTCCTCACCTTTTGTTCCTTCAACCCCATAACAAGAGGAGAGTATTGTTTAAAAGGGAAGCCAGCGTATTAAGAATGGATGCAGAATGTGGTGACCAATTATAGCCAAGCTTCCCCTTCCTCTCATCCTACCGCCTAGTTCCTGGACTTGCACACGAAAGAGTGGCTTAGTCAGTGAAATCAATACCATGGTATTGACTAACACCGGGTGTGCTTTCTCTCTCTTTCTCTCTCTCTCCCTCTTCCTCTCCCTCTTTAAATTTACTGAATTGTTGTCTTTATTTTTTAATGTTTTTTTTTTCCAGATTCCATTTTCTTCTCCTTTCCTTTGCCATCCTCAGCACTTCTCACTTGACTGTTTCTCCTCCATTCTTTCCATTCTTCACTGTGTTCATTTTTTTTTTTATTTTGCCTATTTTCTTCTGTTCTACCTTCTCAGAGGAGAAAGTATTTACCTTATAATTCCTTATGCCCAATATATTGAAAACTGAGACCTCAAATGGCAGTATTTCTGGTGCATCTCACGTCTTATTCCTATAAACACAAGATATTGCTGGAATACAGATATTGAATATATTAGCATGGTGTTTCACATATTGCTTAATGAATGATTATGATAATACCATAAAATAACTCTGTTGGGATTCTAAGAAATTGGTATTCTAAAACAGGAACTGAATGTTCTCTTTTATAAGGGAAAAAAATCATGAAGAGTCATTTACCAAATTAAAGGAAACAGTGCATCATAGATTTTAGTTACTCATAGTAATTTTATTTCAGATTTTACTTTATGTAGTAGGTAGTTTATAAGGTTATAATAGATTTTTTTCTTCTTTTTGCCATTAAACATTGTAGATTTGATGAGAATGTGTGGAAACTGGTTTTGAAATTCCACATATTGATATAAGCTATGTAATATATTTTATTTTGCCTAGAGAAATCAATTACTTTACTATCCAAT